TCCGGGGGTGCGTATTTTGATGGAAAAAAATTTTTGCACACATTTTTGCTTTTACAGTTTTACATAAATGTAGAGAACTGTACAATCAGGGGGTAGAGTTTGGGTAACATAAGGCTCGTTCTTGTGTATTATAAGGATTTTTGTGATCCCCTTGATATTCTATAATAAATATAACACATGGTTTTGTGTCTTTCTATAAACAGGATATTAGTCTGGTTTGGTCCTTGTACCCAATGCCTCTTCCTCTGCAGAAGGCTGTGGCTGTGGAGGCATCCTATGTTTTGTCACTGCGCACATCCATGATAAATGCCATGATGGTTGATTTTTCTTCTTTGGTCAATGCTTATATCAAGGTGTACACACAAAGCAATGAGAATATACCAAACTGGACCCAGGTAAGCCAATAAGCTCACTTTAACAGCTTATGAATCTGCGTTGTTGACACAATGATTGCCATTAGCTCCTAGAGTCTCCTTGTAAGCTTTGACAGAAGTTGCCCTGAAGGGTTTGCCTTTACCTTTGGACCAACGCTGTTAAACATGATGGACTTCGGTCTTTTCAACCTTATTACCTTACTGTAAGAACTGCTGTAGAATGTTAAAAACCCGATGTTCCTGCTAAGTACAAGCAGTAAAAAAATATTGTATATTGCATATTTTTATATACAGTACATATACATAATATATATTGTGGCGGTGCATGGCAATGCCATGCTGTCTTTTAGCAATATAGTCACCCAGGACTCTCAGCCAGGGGTGCTGAGCAGTTCCAGAAAGCACAAATGTTTACTGGAAAAGAGCTGGCTTTGCAGTTCTTCCCAGGTTTTCCGGATTTGGGTTGGGTTCCTGGAACTGGGAGATTTCAAAGAGCATTGGGAGGGATGGAATCTTCATTCCTGGGTCCGGACTTTAGTAGTGACCAGCACCGAGTGGTTGTGCACAGCCCTTATGAAGAGAATGCTGGCTAATGTTCAGGGTTCCACCTGGGAGACAGAGGAGGTCTCTGTGCAGGGGTCTGGAGGGCTCCACTCTGAAACCAGCCTGTGTGGCAACACACCGTTGTGGTGAGGACCAGCCTGTGCAACTGTGAGAGAAACAGTTGCGACTAGTCTTGGAAACAAAGCGGACCAGTGGGTCAAAGCGGCAAAACACTGAAGGTAAAAGCCGAGAAGCTTTATCTGTGTTTTCGTTGCCAGTACTGTGGGTACTTTATGTTTGGAAACCCCTGCGAAGGTAACATTTTATGTATCATATTTTTATAGCTGTCCAATTCCTGGCCTCCTTAAGATTTTCAAATGCTTAACAACCTGCAAGCAAAACGCAGACAGATGGTTCTGACAAAGAATGTTGTAGGTGAAATGGGTTTACGACTTTTACCTGGATACCAACAAGACATCTGTGGTGGAATGGAGAAAAAAGTGAATGTGGTGTCTACATTTCCTCACCCCCCTCAGCTGGATGGAAAATATGTCCACCCTGTATCTGCCGGGGACACATCAGCAACCTGCACAAGGAAAGTGCAATTCGACACTGATCCTTTTGTGGGTCAAGTGCAGGGGTTTCAATCTGCCCCTGTTTGGGAGGAGTCTCCTTCTCCATCAGGTTTGGCTGCTCAGAGTTGTCATTTGCACTTGGCTGTTCCACAAGTACCAAGGAGAGAGGGGAGTGGTGTTCCCATTGCACCACTCGACGTGCCACGTGTCCAAAAGTCAGCTACTCAGTTTCTAACTGACATTTCCATAACTTCCTATTATAAATCTCACAATGTTTGAGAGAACACTCTTCTATAGAAATTGGAGCCCCCAAAACCCAAATAAACACTTATGACCCCAAATTAACCCATTTATGATGGCGATATTGGAGCTGCTGTTGATGACTTGTTTTTAAAGGTGCAGGCCCCCGGGGCATTCATACTTATCCTGTTGGGTTTGACTCACTAAGTCATTTGAACTTCAGCTAAAACTTTTTGTGGCTCTGTTAGCCGAAGTGGGTAAGGGTTAGAACCCTTTCAGATTTGTACTGCTCTCTATGTATGGTGCATCCACAGATATTTCCTGCCCCAGGACCACAAAAAAATGTGAAGGAGGAGCTCAGTTTTGACAACTGCCATTGGAAGAGTGGAGATTTCCCTCTACTACGGTAAAGTTTAGATTCCTTTCACGTTCTGTCCTAATGACAGTTGCAACCAGGGGGGAAATCTCCCCAATGCAGATACAGGCAGCAAAAAAACCTGACGGAGGTTCTAAACCATCCTCGCCCTATGTAGCACTAGAAAAACAAGTGTTTGCTGGAGCAGTGCAAACACTCCACCGCTCCAATTCCCAGGCCACATTAAGCAATAATCATACCAGGGGTGCAGGGAAAATGGGCACGCCTCCGCCTCCAATGTATGGATTCTCCTTACAGACAAGCCGCACTTCCATGGATCTTCATAAATTAAGACAACTTTTTATTATTAGAACGAATACATACTGTGAAACAAAACTCCCATGTGTATAACACTGCTCACGCGTTTCACCCATCCAGCTTAATCATATTGGCCTCTCTGATTAGGCCAGATTGGTGAAATGAGTGAGAGGTGTTATACATGTTTTAATTTATGAAGATCCATGAAAGTGTGGCTTGTCTGTAAGGAGAATTCAATTCAAGCTGGAGTTCCACTTAAAACAAGGATAAGGATGACAATCTCAATCTTTTACAAATAAATCAACCATACCTGCTCCTGTATTTCTGATCTGATACGTATCACTTTAGAGGAAAACTTTTATTAACCCTTGCAGTGGGGCTTTCTCACCATCACTTTCTTCCTTAACCTATACAAGGTTCCTGTTATACTTTTCATTTGTTTACTTGGCTGTTGAAGTCTTTTTTTTTTTTTTTGCCTCTTTCACAGCAAAATGGTGTTTACATCCCTAATTGCATAGTACAATATGCCTGATGGTATGCGCAGTGTGGAGAAATAGCATTTGTGCAGAAGGGGTTTCCCTTCTGCACAATGGAGCCAAGCAAGAGTAAGGCAATATAAGACCATAGCAACCAATCTGGTTTTTAGTTTTCTAGGGAAAGGCACACTTGGAAATAACTTATAGTATCCTACTGGTTGCTATAGACATTGTCTTCCATTTCAAAGAGTTTAATAGTTATCTGAAATTACAAAATGTCCAAACCCTCCGCACCCTCCAACCTCTAAATTTAACATGAGAACCAGCCTGTGTGGCAACACACCGTTGTGGTGAGGACCAGCCTGTGCAACTGTGAGAGACACAGTTGGGACTAGTCTTGGAAACAAAGCGGATCAGTGGGTCAAAGCGGCAAAACACTGAAGGTAAAAGCTTTCTGTGTTTTCGAGGCCGGTACTTTGTTTGGAAAGAGTTTTAATAGTTATCTGAAATTACAAAATACCCAAACCCTCCGCACCCTCCAACCTCTAAATTTAACATGAGAACTGCTTGTACCAGTCTATGGCCAGACAACCTTTCATCAATGACCATTGAACATACTGTATGCCCTCAATAGAGATGAATGTGCTCACTGCCTGCTTCAATAAGGGTACATCTGCAGTGTCATGTTTTTTATTGATGTGGGGGTGTATGTTAACGTTGAATTGATTATTAGTTAGTATGTTCTTTCATATATTTTATTTCCTGTATGTATTTACACATACATAAATTATCAGGGTTTTTCACAAAAGGGTGAAGAGTTTGGAGAAGTGAACAATCTAGGACAACATAGCTGAAATGGAAAGATTCTCCAATTCAGCTCACTTTCCAGTTCAGCTTTGTTGTCCTAGATCAGGGGGCGCCCACAATTTTTCATTCGGAGATCAACTTTTCAAATAACAAGCTCAATGAGATCTACCAACGAAAAAACACCACCATTCAGGTGGGGGAGGGAGCATAGCACTGCAGCCACGCCCCTCACCCGCACTGCGATCGCCCACATCCGGAACGCAGGCACTTTAGTGTCTGCGTTCCGCTCCAGTGCGATTTGCAATAATGCTGCAAGCACTTTTTTTGCAGATTGCACTAGACCGGAATGCAGGCAGGCGATCGCACTGTGGGCGGGGGGCATGGCTGCAGTGCCATTGACTTCAATACAATCTCCTGCCCCTGAATGCAGGGAGTCGGCCGGCTTGCATTTCAGTGCGTTCTAAAGGCGCCGGCGTTCTGTCCTCCGTCCTTTCAGGGAGAAAATGCCTCTCTCGCGGACATCAGGGAGCTGCTGTCCAAAAGAGGGAGACTCCCTGAACATCAGGGAGACTTGAGATCCCTGCTTCTCGGATCCCCGCTGCATACAGATGGGGGAGGGCAGCAGGGATCCAGAGAAGCCCCACGACAGGAGGACAGGACATCGCGATCTACCAGGGATCGCTTTGCGATCTGCTGGTAGATCGCGATCGACCTAATGGGCACCCCTGTCCTAGATTGTTCACTTCTGCTGCCTTCTCCACACTCTTCACCCTTTAGTGAATAACACTGATAGACTTGCATGTTGTTTTACACATGACATATAACTGTTCTGTTGATGCCGGAATATGGCAGTAATGCATGTTATTGGCCCTCTCACAGTTCGCTCTGTGTACATTTAAACATACTGTTACCTGTTGCTTAATAAAGTTTAACTTCTTGGATCTTTTTTTTTTCTTATCGGAAAGCCTAATAATGTGGTAGTATATAGTCTGGCACTCATATGGACAGATATCAATATGATCTGATTGATGCTGCAGTTAATAAGACGTGGGCCTTCTTTTAAAGAGTCCCTGCTCTTAGGGCCCATTCACACAAATTGTGGGTAGCAGAGGAGGAGGAAGAGGTTACAAAGCTGCAGGACAGTCAGTTCTCATACATTCAATTTGTTGCAGCTCAGTACAAGTGACACCGCGCATGCGCAGTGTCACTTAACGCTGGTATGCAGCCTGTTGCCATGGTTATACCAAGACGCTACCATCGAGTTCTGGAAATACGTCACGTGGCCGGCCAGAGCGAAGACAGCAGCGTTCAGTTCACTTCCGGTCCCGGCGGTGATCCCACGTGTGTGCTGCGCTGGGAGGTCCGTCCAGACATGGGGAAGAATAACAAGAAGGGGAACAAGCCCCTGGTGGGACCCGCTGCAGTGAAGGTGGGAAAAGCCCGCAGCGAGGTCCGGGACAACCCGTTCGAAGTGAAGATTAACAAGCTGAAGTTCAATGTGCTGGGCAGGAAGAGCAAGCATGATGTGGGGCTGCCCGGGGTGTCCAAGTCTAAAGCCATCAAAAGGGTAAGCTGATAATAATGCAAATGGTCTTCTGGTGTACAGTATGCTTTTTAATTATATATGCTTCAGAATGCATGACTGTCTATGCATTTTTGTATACACATGTTTGTATATGTTTGTATGCATTCTGACACCACTAGGAGCAAGGAGAATTACCTGGTACTTG